GCGACGACCTTCCCCTGCTTCCAACTCGTCTCCTCCTCCTCCCTGTCTCCCCATCTGAACTTTCGCCCTGTTCTTCTTCTTGACGAGCGGGCACCCACGTGACATCCATGGACGCATCGTCATCATCAACCGCTTCACTTGTATCTGACAACTCAGCAAAGGAAGCAGCAGCGGGTACAACATCATCATCATCATCACACCGTACGTCCATGTGCGTAATGCTGCCTGCCTGAGACATATCCCTGTTATCTACATCCTCTGGCAATAATGGTTGCGCATCACTCATTTCTTCAAACGGATGTGTGAATAACTCCTCTGACATACCAACTGAAGCGGCTGTGGTGCTAGTTTTGGTGGTGGCGGCAGGCGGGTGAGTGGTATCTTGAGAGGTGCCTGAAGCTAAGCTGGAGGAGGATGGTGCGTCAAGGTTCTGAGCGGAGGCTGTAGAAGATTGGGTGTCCTGTGTTAGCCAGTCAACTATGTCCTCAGAACTTTTCAAGTTCAGGGTACGTGGCCTCTGAAAACTGGGCATTATTCTAGGGCCAAAGGGAATCACAGCACCACGACCACGATGGCCCCTGCGGGGTGGCCTGCCTCTGCCTGTCATTTTTGTTGGGATTAGTGGTACTATGCGTGCAAGCTACTGTGAGACCAGATATGAGTGGCAATGTGCACTGGCACAGTTGTGCAGAGCACAGGCTGTAGGCCTGACACCCGCTTGAAGATAACTAACTGCTATTCAATCTATAACAGTGAAAAAAGTTTTTTGTTTTTTTAAATCCAAGCTATTGTGACACCAGATCTAATTGGTGGCACTGGTCACCGTATCCACTGTTAGCGTAACACACCCGCTTTAAGGACACTGACTGCTATTCAATCTATAACAGTGAAAAAAGTGTTTTGTTTTTAAATCCAAGCCATTGTGACACCAGATCTAAGTGGTGGCACTGGTCACCGTATCCACTGTTAGCGTAACACACCCGCTTTAAGGACACTGACTGCTATTCAATCTATAACAGTGAAAAAAGTGTTTTTTGTTTTTAAATCCAAGCTTTGTGTCACCAGATCTAAGTGGTGGCACTGACTGGGGAAATGGGTACAGTATGCACTGTGAGCCTGACACAGAAGCTGGCAGCAGTGGCAGACAACTAACTGCAATTACATTACATAGAAAAAAAAATCAAAAAAAAGCATACCCTAACCCTAACCTAGCTATGCTTTTCCCTATCTAATGAACAGCAGCTACACTTTCCCTCCTCTTACTAAAGCATGCAGCTTGAGAATGAATCTAAAATGGATGCCTTCCAGGAGGTGGGAGGGTCTGCTAGGAGGGTGTGCTGCTAATTGGCTGGAATGTGTCTGCTGACTGTGAGGTACAGGGTCAAAGTTTACTCAATGATGACGAATAGGGGGCGGGTCGAACCGCGCATATGTTTGCCCGCCGTGGCGAACGCGAACATGCTATGTTCGCCAGGAACCGTTTGCCAGTGAACCGTTCGGTACATCACTAATACCAACTGTAACAGCCCCTCTCTCAGATATATTGTATTGGAACTCTACCATTCCTTTCTGGCATAGAGGAACTATTTAACTATTGAATTGTCAGCTCTTTCTAGGGGATACCTATGTATCTTATACATCCCCTGACTGACAGATAGTATTATTATCTCACTGTATTGTTGCAAAATTGTGCCTCAAACTGGGTTTTTTTGCCTTCTTTTGGATCAACAGCAAAAAACAAATGTGAGGAAGGCTGAACTTGATGGACGCAAGTCTCTTTTCAGCTATGTAACTCTGTAACTATGTATAAACTCTTTCTATTATTCTATTTGTTTACATTTATTATTATTTGTTTTCGCTAGTAATTTGTATTTCTTTGTATGCTCTGTGTTTTGCCTGCCATATATTTCTTCAATACAGTATCTTCTAGATTTTTAACTGCTTGTGTGTATCCGATATCGGTAATAGGAACAGATTTCCTCTTTTTCTTAATTTTGCAATCATTGAGGGTTACCCCCTATTCTGCTCCTACAGATACTAGGACATTGATGCTTTGGGCACTTTTCATAACATAATAAAACACAGACACCAGATATTCTGTTGGAGTATAAAGTCCACAGCTTTATTAAAATATATATATATATATATATATATATATATATATATATATATATATATATATATATAATATATACACACACACACACACACACACACACGATTAACAAAAAATGACCCATACCAATGAACAATAGATAACATTCCAAATAACAAATAACTTATAACACACGGCCTACCAAAGAGGCCCTACATCCATATGGTTAAACTGTAGGGGTGTACCAAGACACCCCTACACCCCTAGGTTCGTAGCCACCGATGAGCTCGAACCTACCAAACACTTTTTCCACTCCGGCCTACACCAGCCTAGACCTTGACCTACCCACTTCCTATTCCACCTAAATCCTATTTCCTAGCCCTTTTCCACCACAGCACATGACTTGACTCCCTTAAGATCATGCGCGACCCCCACCACACATAAACAGGGCCTGGTTGATGCCTTCCTGAAACCCCAAATTAAGTAAATCACAACCAATGTCAGACAGGTGTACACCATCTTTTCTAAAGTACCCGGGCAGCATGTCCTCCAGTTCCTGGTGCCGCACTACTATGCCACCTATCCTACGAATAAAAACAACCATGGTTTTATTGACTTTACCCCTATATCAAGCTACAGCAGCCGGATCCCTGGCGTGTCTCCAGTTAAAACGAGGTACCATCTCAGACCAGACCACCACCACACCAGTAACCAGTTCCCGTAGCCGATCCATATCCCTCTTCATCCTCCTCACCAGTTCCAGTTGGGGGACCATCCCTAAGTCATTCCCCCCGCTGTGAACTAACACTATGTGTGGGGAGGCCCCCCGCGACCCTCCTGAACATCTCACTACTAACGCTCTGCCAACTAAAACCCCGAAATCCAAACCAAGATAACGCCAACAACTCCAGAGGAAAGCCCAGCTGTGTTACTTGTTTTCGAACTGTGGCCCTCTTCTGTGCCCAATACACGTACGAATATCCTATCAGCCAAGCAGTCCAACCTAAAAGGGAACAAAAAACAGTGACACAGCAGAGCAGAATCCAACCAGTTTACGCCCAAGCACCCCAGTCACACCAACCTGTCTGACCTCACATACGAGCGGAATCGAATGGATTCCCATCTCCCTATTCGCTTGATCCCATCGTCCCCCAACACAAGGCGCGCTGCCTCCGTTGCCGCCCCTATTCGGAATGAGTGTGTCCCAAACTGCCTAGGGTCTAAGCCCAACTTCTGCAAACCCAAACAAAAGATCCTAACAAACTGAAAACGCGACAGCACTGTGCCATCAGCATGTATGAAAAAACAGCCCTTTACCCTGGGGCAGAGTTCCAGGAACCCGGCCCCGCAAGCCACCGGACACACCCCTGACCAAGGCAACTCAAATAATATCACTGAACAGCCCTTACTAAAAACGTCCTCTAACCTTATTCCGCCGACCCCTGCTTTTTTGGCACTGACCAACTCCCCAATTCGAAATGCCCTGAAAAAAGCCAATATGAACACCCCCGAAAATAATGCCACCTCAATTGGCAAAAAACATATACTCGGCAATATCTCCACCAACCCTTGTAGCACTGCGAATGACACCGGCCTCCTTGTATCCACCGACCTCTTACCCCTCCGAAAACCCTGCAATGCTTGCAGCACCAAAAATTTTTTTGTAATGTCCTCCCAACCATTGAACTTAAACAGGAACGCCAAGGCTGACATATGTTAAGTGATGAAACTTGCCCGCCTCCTTCTTGGGGACCACCCCCAGTGGAGACACGTGCAAATCCGCTAATGGCGGGGACAGAAACGGACACACCATCCTTCCCAATTTAACTTCTTTCCTCAACTTCTCGCACACCACCCCCGGATGTTCCTGAACGGACTTGAGATTCACGCACAAATTTCCTTGTCCCTTGCCTTTGAATGGAATAGTAAAACCTTCCAAAAATCCCTGCCATAAAAACCTAGCATCTTCTTGGTTAGCGTACTGCCTTAGCCACGGCAGCATCATGCCGACCTTCACCGGTGACACCCCCAGCGGCGCCCCCTCCAGAAGCAGGTTTTCCCCTCTTGAAGCACCTGTTGACCCCATGATTACCGCCGCATCCGGAACACTCGTGTTTAAATCTACACGAACCCTTCTTTTGTCTGGCTGACACGGCGCTTCAACCATCGCTGCCAACCGCGGACAAAACTGCTCGTCGTATCTTCACCATGCCAGTCCCCCGTAGGTCCGATAGGCATTCCCTATCCCGTCGAGGTAACAAAAGAGTTGTGAATATCGATCTGGGGACATTTCCCCGATTACACTTGCTAAGATACAAAATGACCTGAGCCAATTACCAAAAGTCTTCAGTATCTTGCGATACCTCCGCCTTTTCTCCTCCTCCTCTTTCTTGGCATCCTTCTTATCTTCCTCCTTTAAGTCGAGGAATTACTTGAGAGGAAGGAGTGAAAAAACTTCCATAAATTCCCCTTTCCAAATCTTGTCTTTGACCTCCGCCTTCAAGTGACACCCCAGAGGCCCCTTGAAGAACACGTGCACATGTTGCCGCGCCGGGTCGGGAATCTCACCACACACTTCCATCTGTTCTCCCAACCCCTCCGAAGCCCCCGCTACTGTTAAAACGCCCTTCGCGTCACCGTCACTTACCATGCTCCTTGCTGCCCTATCCTCAGTATCCCATCCAACCTCTGGGGCCCACACCCTTCCGAACCGCGGTGACAACCCCCTGTCACTGCGCGGCTCCCAGCTATCCTCCCACCTGCTGCCGCTCCTAATGCCCTGCTGTCCCTGAGAGTGGCCCCTAGGGCCCTCCCGCACGCCTCTGTCCCCTGTGTCCAGTTCTTCTTGCCCTGGTCCTTTCCGCTGCCCTTTGCACGCTGTGCCTGGCCTCCCACTGGCAGCCTTGTCCGAATGTGATCCATTAATTAATTCCTGGCAGCTGGAGTTTACCTCTACTGCTGTTCCGTTATGCCTGGAATGACTACGCCTGCTGCGCACTCCATCCCCCTCCCTGACCTCTGACCTGGACCTAACCCTTCTAGGGCCACACCTGTCTGTGTCCCGCCATCCAGAATCCCCCCTGCCATCTGGGGGACCGCTTGTGCTGTACTGACCACCTTCAGCCCACCCCCCTGTCCCTCAGTTATGCCATCAGGTGCCGACTTACCAGGACGCAGCATGTTGATCTCCCTGTTGCCTCCATGTCTGGCCGCAATCCTGCCCATGCTGG